TTGCTCTGGTAGGATATGGAAAGGGCAGAAATCATGCACTAAAAGAGAAAGTCTCTAAGAAAGGTTCCTTATTACCTGCTCAAGAGAAATATCATTCCTATACACCTGCAGTTGCCACTTTGCTATTAATTGTGTTTCTGAACTGCCAGAGAGCACTTTCCCTGGGACCTCTTGGCTCATTCAGACTCCCCAGCTTTCACTGAGCCAGGGAGGTACCTTCTACCCCTCTTCCTTCCTGGACAACAGCTAATATTTCTAGCTGGAACCTGGGCTGCCTCAGAGAGGCTCCAGTTCTGTAGAGATGGCGATAAAGCGGTGAGGTACAAAACAAAAAGTTAGGATTCAAAACAACACCATAGATATGCAGTCCTGTGGGACAAGGGCATACCCACAGGAGCAGTGTTGAGGGGAGGATGGAAGCCAGAATTCTGTCCTTCATGAAGCACCTCTCCAAGGCCCTGCTGTTCTTCTCTTCATGACCCATAGGTTAATATTCTCTGCTGCTCACATTCTGCAGCAACTTTTCCAAATAATTATACTCAGAAAATTCTAAAACAGATGCTTTTTAGTTGTTTGCTCAGTGGCAATCATGCTAGTAAGTTAGGGCTGGCTTTAAGGGCTAGCAGAGATAACTACGACAGATTGAGCTTGAGCCGCACATCTCCATCCTGTATGGCATTAGCAATCATATGTGGCTAAAGCATCTTCAGATATTTTCTCTGCATCTCACAAAAACTGTGAAGTTACGCTACAGAACACCTGTGATGGAGGGAGTATTTATTTTCCTCATGCAGCGAAAACAATGCAAACATGAAGGCTAAGATTTCCAAGGTCCACTTTCTAGAAGCAGACTTAAACCCTGGTTCACTTGAGCACCACTAACAGCAGCTTTGTTCTGGACCTGATTCAGTCTTACTGAATAGAAATGGATTTTAAAAATTGCTTCTGGAAAGCTCTAGACCTGCTGCTTCTGCTGCCCTCTGGGGAGCTGTGCCATATACATGTGTATGGGTGGAAAACTCTTCTTTGCCTTCCACACGTCTACTCATACTCCAGCCCCAAAATCGCCACATTATCAGTAGATGCAGGCATAATCCTTGCTTGATCCTTGGTCTTGTCACTGGTCCCATTGTCATCCCACAGGAACTGGCTGGCAGTTCTTTGGCACCATGATCCTGACTCCTAGATATGCCAGAGACACACAGTGAATTTTGAAGCCACATAGCTGTAGCTACTCACAGTTCCCAGCTATGCACAGTTTCCAGCTATGTGCAGCTTCAGCCACATCAGATCTGGGGCACTTTCCTGATGCATTTATACCTTTGTTTCATTTGAAAGAGTTTTATTCCTCCACCCCAAATGCCTCTTCACTTAGTTCAGGACACAGCTTGAGCTTCTAAATTGTAGTCCCACCCCAACTTTTTTGTATATGACCCATGATATGCAAGTGTGCCGTCAGAGGAGGTCTAGCTGGAAGTATTTCATCAGTTTTTACATGAAAAAAATGCCCATTTAGATTTTGAAATTGCTGATAAATATGTGAGAAAGTACATGAAGAGAAGGCAGTATTCCCTTTTCCAAACCTTTCTTTGAACAACTCTCATTTGGAGTGTCTATTCACACACGAATATGAAGCTATGTTACACCCAGCATAACACAGAATCATAAAAGGTCAGTTTTGCTGATGATGTGAATAATTGTCCCCTCAGTGCAAACTCAAAATTTAACTGAATCATTCATTTGCAGAGAAGCAGCAGATGTTCAGAACTTTCCAGCTTGGCCTAGCCCCCAGAGAAGAAATGTGCAACATGAAGTTCAAGTGTTTCAATTATCTACATATACACATGCATACACATAGGAAAACAGGCACTGCTTCTTGAACAAGTCACTCCAAAGAAAAATAATTCCTTCTTTTAGGCACTTCAGGTCAGCAATGATGGCCATTTCAAGAATTGACTCTCTTAGAAACCAGCTTTACCTGTAGAACAGAGATACTGCCAGACTCCTTTCCCCACACATGACTGGCTGCACACACAACTTAGCTTCACACAGCATAGCTTTCCAAGATACACAACCTCCTCAAATGCTGAGGGAAAAAAAGCACTTGAAATGCCACTTTGCCACAATTGCTGGTGACACTGATCATACGATCCTGCAGTATAAAATACTTGAAGTTTTTGCTTGTTCTACTTGCTCTGGTGGAAAGTGACCAGTAGTTGGCTCTCTAAGACTTGTGTGAAGTGCATGGAGATGCTTCTGCCTGAGCAAAGGGATTCCCCAGGCTTTGGAAGATGGTGCAGACAACGTCACCACGATTCCCGCTCACTTTCATTGGATGAAGTCTGGGGGTTTTAGACCAGTGAAGCTATATTTATGTTTATGTCCACAAATCTTACCTTACTAATAATATGGGACGGTCAGTTCGCAAGCTGAAATGATCCCTATCTCATAGGAAATTGGAAGTCAAACAACCGGATCCAAATTAAGATATATCCATGTGCGGGGTATGGAAACACAGTTATTTTGGAAGGTAAGTTTCTATGTGGTCACCGTTAACTCCAGTTAACTGTGATAGCAACAGAATACAGTTTTAATTTAGTTTAGTTCAGCTTATTAGAAAAAGGTTGCTACTTCTGCATGGTTTGTTGTCTTTTTTTTTCTACTAAATACTAGAGCTGAGGGATTTGAGTGTTTACAGAGAGCTGAATATATGACAAATGAGGATTTTTTCAGAAACTCCCAAATGGAGATAGAAGTTCCTTGAAGCTAGCAGTCCTTTGTATTTCAAGTGCTGACTGGGCTGATTTTACAAAATAAGCATTTCTTTAAAAAAACTGTTGCACAGTTTAAATGTCTGCCATCAATAGGAGGACAGAAATCAGTTAAAGGATCACCTAAAAAACACCAATTTATATTTTAAAGTCTCATCTTAAAAGGTTAAGAAATAAATCAAATTCTGAGATTAAATAAATCAGAGCTATGCAAAGTTGCAGCAGAAACTCTGGCTGGAAAGTGTCATATTAATTTTTTAAAAACAAAATCATTCAAATCCAGGAATCTTTCCAAGATGTCTTCTTGCACCACGGAGGCTTTGGTAAGTGCATCACTTGAAATAACTTTGAATGATGCCATTGGAGATGTACCAGTTTACTCCAGCTACACCTCAGGAAGCAGAATATGGGAAGCAACACCCTGTACAGTACAGACAGAGTCATGGAAATGTTTTATTCTTTGTGTGGTTGCATCCTAAGTTCTGTATGGCTGGCTTCTCTGCTCATCACCCACCACTTGGAAAATGCCTGTGTTGTCAAAAATGGTGACTGGGAGGCAAAATTACACAGGCATCATGAGAAATATCTATATGCTTTAAAACCAGCATTGGAGAATATTACCAAACACAAAATATCCAATGACTGCTGTTGGCTTTGCCAGTAAAAATAATACTCATCACTCTCCTGACTCAGAGAAACTTTTTATTGCAGCAAGCATTAGGTAATGAGCGCTGCCACCAGAGACAGTGCAGAGAGTTAGACAGACCAGTGATCTACACATAAGCAAAGCCCTGATTTTTTTATCAAAACCTTTTTAACGAAAGTACATAACATGTTTCTTCTATTCTTTTGTCTGCTATATTCCATTCTTCCAACCTGGTATTCTATGACTCTATGAAAATACAGTTATTACTTGAGTATTTTTGAGATAAGTGACAGGAAGAAAATTTCAGGTGGATGAAGAGCCAGAGGGGTGATGGCTGCCGTGCATGTGTTGAGCAGAAGATGTGAACTGGCAGAAGGAACCTACATCCATCAGTGTTGTGCTGCTCCATGTGGCTGTGATCTTGGACACAAAACCCTCACAGGCCATCCAGTCACCCAGAGAATGACAACACCACAGCCCTGCCTTGTTTCACATACACAGAGCTGCATAATGCATTGATTTGAGGGAACAGCAACAGTTACCCTTCCTAAAAGGTGCTCAGAGAAGCAATAAGACTTCTTGAATTCTTGCCAGAAAGGCTCAGTGGCTCAAGATATTAGGGTACAATAATGATCTCCAGGCATGATTTTTCCTCAGATCTAAAGTTCATTCTTTATATTTAGCACATCAGGACAAGAAAATAACTTCAAGCTTATCCAGCAAATTGGAGCATAAAAAATGGGTGAACGACATAGAGTTTATTTTTAATTTGGATTCTCCCCATTCTATTTAGAGCATAAAGCCCAAAGGCAACAAACAAAAAAGTAAGTCTCATGAAAATGAGTTTTGCATTAACAGCTGGGTGAGCCAGTGGAACACACGATGAAGCAGCAACGAGGGAGGTCTGAGGTGCTACAGGTGGGCCCAGCTGGCTCCAGAGCCACACTTAAGTGAATGCTCAGTGTAAGCACACTTTCTAAGGCAGGAGCTCAGGTATGATCTAAAAGATTGCTTGTAAAAAAATATGTACCAGTCTTCAGGCAACTAAAGTTAGGAGTGAGCAATGACACCAAACCTTTGACTATTCTCATGAGCCCACCTAAATTTCCATTTCACTCGATTTATCTCCCATTGGTAATTTTCTCTTTGGTCAGAAACCTCAAGTAGACCCAAACTAACATTCTTCTCTGTCATGTCAACAGATCAAATATTTCAAACAAGGGAAAAACGGACAGAGCAAACCTGAAAAAAACTCACCAGTCAGAGGAAAAAAAAGTTGAGAAAACTGTTCTCCAGCTTTGAGCAATCGTCAGAGTTTGGGAATTTTCACAGTGATAGACCAGCAATTACATGATGTGATGATTTTTGAGAATATAATAAGCTTCAGTAACTATGACAAGCCATGCTAACATAGTGGTAGCTGTAAAAGGCATCATCATCTAAGACATTGGCTGGTACAGCAAGACGAAAGCAGTCAAAACGTTACAGGCACGTCCAGTATAAAGTTAGAGCCAAGCTTTACTGATGCTTCATTTGCTGTGGGATATGGGATGAGTAGGCAGTGATGAGTACAGAGCAAGTGCTCATTTACAGCAGAAGAACTTCACATTGTTGAGTGCTGTGTCATCCTTAAGCCCCTGTGGGGGCTCCACCTTGGTCTGGAGACCACATATGTTGCAGCTTTTGCTCCATGGGCCAAAGCTACCCCACGATAGTCCATCACCTACTAGCACAGTTGCGTCCGAGCATGTGAACTGGATGTTGTTGGCTGCTGTGTCATCACCTCCTCCTTGGGACATCTCTGTTCTCAGAGAGAAGGAGACCAGGTAGCCTCCAGGGCAAATCTGGAAGCTGGTCCAGGTACCCCATCTGGCAAAAGAGCAGACAGAGGAACATCTGGCCTCTGCAAACCACTGCGAAGTGCTTCTTCTCCTTACCCTGCTGCCTTCAAACTTAACACTTCCTTGCCCACAGCAGTGACCAGCGCAATGTCCTGCTGCAGCCTGGGGTCCCTTACTTTCTCCTTTGTTTTTTTTAATTCCCTTCCAAGGGTGTAATTTTCTCTTTATTGATATGTTATCAGAAAAACACCAGGAAGCAGGAGACTGGATAGTTACAGTTCTTGTGGAAACTCCAAGGACAGCCTGAGCACATTTTATGATGAGCCCTAAACCCATTTGACAAGTACACACCAGACAGCAGTCACTGTCATCTGGAGGTGCAGTGCTGCTTGCTACAGCAGGGCCAGGGCTTCACCCAAACAGTTTCTAAATGCATGGCTAAAAACTCCTTTTCTTGCATTTGCCCCAAGTGTTGCAAATTCCCAAAGAAGGACTCTAGCCCTAGGACTATACTTCGGGTATTCACGGTGCCCTGCAGAAATTTCAAAAGCAAACAGAAGGCAACAGTGTGAAGTAACCGTGTTTAATTACCCTAAAAATGAATGAACAAAAATCCCGAACACCTATTTTAAATTGCTTTATACTCCAGCACGGGACCCCTGCAAATGGTGACACCTATGGACATTATGTAAGCGGGTGCATGACAAACAAGGGAGAAGTCAAAGTGCTACTTACTCCCCCACCAAGGACTCGATGACTGAGTCATCCTGACAATGCAGGCGTATGCCATTCAGAGCTGTGTCGTCTCTTCCAAACTGGGCGGGCTCCACCTGCAGCAGAAGACACAAGGAGGGAGGTAAAGGCAAGGGTGAGAAGAGGCAGGAAAAGTCCTTTAAGTGCCAGTTGTAGACAGTCCCAACTCCTTTCTGTAATGAGAAAGAGAAAATATCTTGGGAAGCACACAGGAAAAGATGTCTGTCACACTGGGAAACTGCAATGTACCTATATAACCCTTCTAACATGTTCTCCATTGTGTTTCCTAACTATTTCTGACCCAACGAGTAAGGCAGAGACTCTGAGTCCCAGGAGAGATGCTGGAGGAGACTGCCTCTCCTCCTGACTCCAACAGCAGATTTTGACACTGACGTGGCTTCTCCCAGCAACATCAGCTACAGAGATACCGTGCATCTGCCAGCACAACTCTAACTAGATTGAGAGCAAACCAAATCTGGTGGTAGCTCTGTTTTTGCTGTATCAAATGGGAGACCTCTTGTCCTAAAAGAAAAAAAACCACAAATTTTTCTTTACTGGTATAACTACAGTGGCAACATTTTCTAGGCTAAATTTTCCAAAAGTCTCCTAGTTTTATGTACAGACTACCATACTCAGGAAGAGGAAAAACTCTGCAGGAAGTCCTTAGGCTCTGGAGAAGTCCCTCCTGGGAGGTGGATAGCTGTAGACCAGGATACAGGGACAGGAGATGGCTTGAACTAGGGAGAAATTTACCTTCAGAGCAAATCCATTGGCATAACCATAGCGGCAAAACCGCTTACTCCCCCACTTGCCCCAGTGGCTTCCATTAGGCACAGTAAGGACGGAGGTATATTCACGCGCCCCTGTGCCTGGAGTGCAGAGGGAGAGGAGCAGGACAAGGGTGGCTGGCATGAGGAGCTCCATCTCTTGCACTCTGCAGCTGCTGAAGGAGAGCTGCTGTACGGACAGGGGAATTTATACCCTGTCAAGGCAGCTTGCCTTTCCCCAGCAGTCCCTCAACAAACAACACAGGAACAATAGTGTCCACCTGGGCAGTGACACAGCACTTGCTGACCTGCTCACAGTGCCCATGAGGAGCTCCGTGGGAGCTCAGAGAGCTTGACAGCCAATGCGTGACAGATGCTGTGGCTGCAGGGGTATCCACCATCACTGAAGGGCCATAGCGAGGCCTGAGTACTCCTTGCAGTGCTCAGGGTGCCTGTGGAGCAACTTGGCAGAGGGTTGATATCAATCCCTGCTGCTGGCTATGCATATACTTAGCCATGGGGATGTTGTCTTTTGAGAGAAACTGTCATGAGCATTTCAGTTATTGCTAGATGTCTGGTAGGACAGGAAAAACTGTACAAAGAAACACAAGGGACCTGGTCTGGAAGAAAGTATAAGTAAACTCAAAACTTTTGTTTCCCAGCACCTTGTGCTGAATAGAATTCCTGGAAAGCTTGACATATGCGTAGGTTATTTGTGGTTTCAATGTATTTTTTTTTCCACTGTCGTATTTGACTCAATAAAAAACACTGTGCTTTGCTTTGTGACAAGCGTAACAGAAGTCAGGCATGCTGGGATGCCCACAGCTATTCTTGGGGATCACTGACATGTTCACTGAGGGAAGGTGAAAGGCAGGGTTTCTAGGAAGGTGATACTGAACTTGGGCTCACAGTCTTTGAAACATGCTTTCCCCCATGAGACCTGAGCAATCACAGTTGGTGAGCCAGGTGTGTTTGCTCAGGCAAGGTCACACTGTGGCAGCTGGGGACACCCAGACCTGCCCTTGGCTGCACATGAATGGAAAGGCATCAGAAGGATCCCCACATTCACTCCTTTATTGCTGGCCTGAAGCCATCACCCTTGGCTGCTTCACCTCTGGCAGCAGTGGTGCAGATCCACAGCCTGGCAGGACCCACCTCCCCCCAGACTCTGCTCTGATCAGGGATTCTCACCTCTTCCCAGCCCCAGAGGGAGGATCTCAGGAAGGGGTGAGCCCAGAGCAAGACAGGGGAGAGGGGTGAGGCGGGAGAGGGGTGAGGCAGGAGAGCGGTGAGAAGGGATTTGGCCATGAGAAATTACTCCTATGCACACTTCAGAGGCTCCGAAGAAAACAGAAGGGGAGGATGAGCACGCTCACTCTGGGACTTGGGAAATATCGCTTTCCCCATTCATACCCAGAGAAACTGCCTGGTAACCTGAGGTGCCAAGTGAGATGCCTTGAACTTGATTTCAGAGTACATGGCATAGATAGTACTTAGATAGCTATGTACAAAGCAGAGCTGCCATTGATTTTTGCTACCATGTAATGGTGCTTTTTGGGGGACGATGCTTCAAAAAGTTTTCTAAGATCAGCTTACCTAAAACATCAAATTAAAAATCTCAACAGTGGTGGGATCCAAACCTCTTACTGACACATGTACCCTACTTTCTCACTCCCTCTCCTGTATTTTAATATTCTTGAAATAATGGTAGAAGACAATTTTAAAGAACATTGGCAAACTGATGAATTTGATTAATAAGACTTGACTACAGTAAAATGATTATGATAAACGGTATTTCATCCTCTCATTATTCATCCAGCTAAATACCATTACTTTTGCAGAGGAGCATAAAAATGAAGCCCTTACTTTTCCGCTTTTATAAATACTTTTACAGAAGAATATAATACTTAGTACATTAATTTTATAAAATTATTTTTTATGTTAAGAAATATTTAAAATCTATATGAAACATGGAAACTAAATTTACATCTATAACATAGAAAATCATACATCATACACAATTTGCTTTAATTTATGTTGTTATTGGAAAAATTATACATTAGCGACTCCTGAAAATTAATTAACTTCTGATTTTTACCCTGAAAATACCACACACTTGGGAATACAAACTTTATTTGGCACTGTTGTATGTTGTCTTTCTCATATTCTCAGTTTCTCATATTCCTGTCTATTTTCTGCTGCCCAAAGGACAATGATCCATTGGGAGGCTTTCCAGACTGCCCAGCCTCTTCCTACAGCTTTTGCAAAGCACAGCAAACTGTGAAGTCAGGCAAGACCACACCTGCTTCAATTTTCTCCCTCCTGTTTCAGTCTCCAGCAACTCCGCTCTTTATTCACAGCCCGCGTACCTCCACCCTGCTCCTGATGGTCTATCAGGAGCTCTGCAAGCCCATGGAGATCCTGAGGTATTTCAGTGCAGTACTCTGTTTGAGTTCTGAAGATGGCCATGTACTAGGGTCATTTCTGGGTTTTAATCCTTTAAAACTGTAAGTACTGGACATTTTTGAAACATAATAATTAATATTATTTCTGTGGCAGGCACAGAAAAGCAGTTCCTTTCACCTCCTCTACTATGTGTTTTGTAGAATTCCCTGCAAAAGATTAAATATACTAATTTAGAAAAAGTTTGAAGTTTCTTTTATCAACAAGACACCTGAGGAGGAACAACCCCATGCATCACTACATGCTGGGGAACACCCAGCTGGACAGCAGCTTTGCAGGAAAGGACCTGGTGGTCCTGGTGGACACCAGGTTGTACATGAGCCAGCAGTGGGCCGTTGTAGCAAAGAAACCAAATGTTGTCCTGGGCCACATCAGGAAAAGTCTTGCCAGCAGGTCAAGGGAGGTGATCCTTCCCCTTTATTCAGCTCTGGTGAGGCCACAACTGAAGTACTGTGTCCGTTCTGGGCTCCTCAATATGAGAGGCATGGACATGCTGGAAAGAGTCCAATGAAGGGCCACAAAGAAGATTAAGACACTGGTATATCTCTTCTATGAGGAAAGTCTGAGAGAGCTGGGACTGTTCAGCCTGAAGAGAAGGCTCAGAGAGGACATCTATAAATACCTGAAGGGAGGGTGAAAAGATGACAAAGTGAGGCTCTTTTCAGTGGTACCCAGACATAGGACCAGAGTAACGGGTACAGACTGAAACACAGGATGTTCCTTCTGAACAGCAGGAAACACTTTTTTGCCCTTAGGGTGACTGAGGACTGGCACAGGTTCCCAGGGAGGTTGGAGATAGATAGTCAAAAGCCATCTGGACACGGTCCTGCGCAACTGCCTGTAGGTGACCCTGCTTGAGCAGGCGGTTGGAACAGGTGATCCCCAGAGGTCCCTTCAACCTCAACCATTCTTTGACTGTGATTCTGTGAACTGGAACAGAGATGTCAACAGGAACAACAAAGCAGGATAAACCCCCATGAAGATCATCTCAGTGTTGTGTTTGAATGAGTTGTAGGAAGTGCTGAAGGCAGCAAGTGCCCAGGAATGTAAATCACACAGCCTGGCTCTGTCAAACCTCTTTCATCTGCAGCTTGGGATGAAGATGAGACACTCCATAGGTAACTGCATCCTTCAAAAAACCACACTATCTCATGGAAACAGTGCATCAGCAAACCCAGAAATCACACCTGTTGCCAAAGAAACATGAAAGAGAAGTAATTAATCTATTTTAGTCTATGAAAGTACAACTAAGCAAAGGGTTGCATTATTTAGAAACAAGTGGGATTGTGAATAAATGTAGACATCTACAGCACATATGTCTCCATCTGAAATAATCATCATGGGCTCCTGTGGCAGATGCACCCACCCTACTAAAGACCTGAGAAAGACCCAACAAAAGCAGTGCTAAAGTTTCTGGCCCTGGTGGCGCCAGGACTGCCTCCCCCCTCACAGCTCATGTCTGGTCCACACAGTGGGGGTCAAAGGTGGGAAAGTTGGGGTCCTCAGCCAGTAGGGGCTGACATGACCATGTATTGACCACAGATCAGATTCGACCAGGGTATAAATGGGGCCCTGCCGGAGGACTCATTACAGTCGGTCTTCCTCGGAGCAGCGGGTCTGCAGTTGGGGACTCTCCTCTTGAGTTGGGACGCCACTTAAGGTAACTTCTCGAGATTGAGAGCCCTCCCTTTTTGGTGAGTGAGTGAGTGCACATTTTGGATCGTTTGGCCAGAAACTTCAGAATTCTTAACTCAGCCGTGTCTGGTAATATTCCCAACCAGCATATTGACCCTGTATTTGTTGAATGTCAGTGGGATGTTGTTTTGGTGAATGAAGTTTTGTCTGCTTCATTTCAGTTGCAGATTGAAGCTTGTTTGAGTTCATTATCTGTGTGCGTGTAGCCATTTTGGTGCAATTCCGTGACAGCTCCCTTTATAGCTGCTGAGAGAGACAATATGACGACAATAGGGAGAAACAGATACCTTCACATGAACCTCTCCCTAAAAATACCCATTCATCTCTGCTGAATACAGGGAGGCATGATCCCCATCTGGACTAGTCTTTCTTACAACCTCAGTCTCTTTTATAGACTTTAGTAGGCTAAAAACAGTAGTGCTGAATTAGAATTAGTTTTCAGTAATATGGGCAAATGTTTAAGAGAACATGAGTAATCATGTTATGTGCTGTCTGGTCCTCATTTTCTCATTTGCTAAATTGACTCAGATTAATAGAAAATAGAATAGCAGGAAAAATGCAAGTGAGAGACATCAGAAGTGAGACGAGAGTCAGGATTTTCTAGATAAATGGGAAGGGAAAGATACTTTACAGCAAACAGACTAAGTGTAGCTATTTCTCAGATGTAGGAGGAGGTAGTTTTGCCTTAGTGATGGGATGTATGGAAGTGCTGCACTCTGAGGTGGTGCTCCTCTTCTTGTGAACTTGTTTTCAGGCAGTTTCCCACCTGCCTATGACCTCCAACTTCCATATAAAACTTTTCCTTGGAAACTTAGACAATTTAGTTATCTTATCTACTAGGATGAGCATCCATTAGTGTTTTTGAACACAGAAATTACAATCCTTACAGTTTCTCATATTTTTTTATTTCTGATATATATCATACATATATTAATATCATACATATCATACATATATCAAACATAGATCAAACTTACTTCATCTATGAATTATGCAAGT